TCAATCCCGCTTTGCTAATTGCACACCGTATTGATAGGGACAGTTCAACTCAATTCAATGCATCAGTGTTTTGGAGGGAGTGAAGAACAAAGGTACGCTATACCCTATTAAGTCAGGACTTTCTGTTTTGCTGTCAGCGTCACTCATACCTTGCCTGTCCACTCTAACAGAGTGCTTGGTTTGTATCAGTCTTTTCCACTGGAAATGACTCATGCCCTGTAGCACAGATTTCCTTTCCCCCAGCCTTTGTGACATTGTCCAAAGTAAGTACCGCCCCAGCCACAGAAACAACGAGAGAGGATGGGCTGCATCCACAAAAACACTCACTGTCACTGCTACTGTTACGGTCACCCAAGAAGACAGGCTGCAGATTTATCAGGAGTGAAGGCGGCTGCTAAAAGTCCACAAGGAATGAAATATCCTTGATCGTCCTTAGGAAAGTTTACTTTTTACAAGCATATTTCCTGTTTAGTTTACATTGTGCTTAATATCCAAGGCTAGATGAGGTAACCTGTTGGGAAAGGAATACTATTAGCATAATCACTGTTTTATTAAAGCAACGCTACGAAGACACAGTGTTGTCATTTACAGACAAATGAAAGATGAGATCCTTCTAGCATAAAGGAAATCAACATCTTCTTATGTGTGGGTGCCACAACCCACACAGCCATAATATTTTGAAGGACTGAAGTCTAAACAGGTCATACAGTGTTCAGGGAAGAAGATGACATGTGTTCCAAATACCCAGTAATGCAGTAGCACATGGCAATGCATAAACCTTCTGGCTTTCTCAGTATGCTTCCTTCTCCAGTTTTCATTGCTGTTGTGCATCGCAGGGGGTGTTACAGTTTATAGGCTTTATGGGAAAAAAAAAAGTTTTATAAAGAAAGGTTTAAGATGACACATCTGCATAAGATTGGAGCAGTGCTCAGAAAGCATTAACTCATCAAAGACTGGATTTTCTAATTAACTAGGAGGTTACTGTAACACATCTATGTGTTCTTACTAAGCCTTTCTCACAAGTTTATGTGTTCAATTAAATGGTAGAGTTTTGACTTAGGAAACACATTCGGTTTATAAACTGTTTTCCCTGACTATTACTGTAAATTAATAAGAATAAACTATACCAATAATGCTGTTTTGTCTAGGGTTTTTTTTTTTTGTTTCCAAAATGCATTTGAGAAAAAGACAAGAATTACACTTTTCAATTTGAAGTGTCACAACAGGATTTATTGGTGCCATCTACCGGCTATTTAGTCCTTTTAAATTTCACCAAATAATGAATAATGTGTTTTAAATGCAGAATAAAAGGAACATTATGAACCTTATAAATGAATCAGCCAACATCAAACTATGTAATTGGCAAATCTGTAACATTAAAATTACATTAAGTCAAACTTTGGTACAATGTTCCAACAGTGTAATTGAGTTATGAAGCTTTTAGATGTGCCAACAGGAGAAAACTCGAGCCAGCGTACAACTACTCGTGTGCAGACTCCAAGCACTAAAGCCACACACACAGATACCCCTCGTGTCTCAGAGGTAGGCTTCTTCCTGACAACTGCCGCCCATTTTAGATCCCTCCTCCCTAGTGCAGGAGCACGTGGGGCACTAATACGTCCCCACAGCAGGTAAATGTCGTCACATTGCTGTTTGCCTTTCCTGGAGGGGAGTCCCCACAAAAATTTGAAGGAGAAAAGGGTGCTTCAGTTCACAGTCCAGGCAAGCTGTCAACATTTCTGCTGAGGATGGGTTTAAGCTAGTTGGATGGAGGGAGGGCAGACGATCTGTTCCACCACATCTGTCGCAGAGGCGGTAGGAGCCAGCAGAGCTTGGAAGGGAGTTGTCGTTGGCCACTGCTGAAACTCCCTCTGCTACAATAATCGAAAGGCATCTGAAGATGACCTAGGGTTTAAACAAGGCTCTAAATCACTTACTTAAACTCTTTGTAGTAAAAATTGCTAAACTATAATCATTTGAGGCGGTGCTGGAGAAAGGTCAGCAAATTAATATTACGTTAACTGAAATGTTAACAGTATCTCCAGTGCCAGGTGAGCAAAGTACTTACATATCCAAGTAGCTGTATCCCTAACTGGCAATATATTTGAGCACATGCTTAAAATACTTAATGATACTTAAAGGTGCTTTGCTAGATACCAGTGAGAATGCTCACATTCCTCACTCTGGTTATTCAAGACCTTTATAGAGCCAGAAACAAATATATTTAGATCGCGGCACTGAGAACCAACCTCTGGAATAACTTGCTTAGCAGCTAGGTTGTGAGCAAAGAAAGTATATTAATAAGGTGATTGAAGAAAGGGCTTATCCTTCCTCTTCTCTGCCTTTTCCCATCATCTAACAAAAACAGGAGAGTCTTTAAGTAAGGAAAACAATGTTATTTAGCCATATCTGTCTTTCAGAGATTTAATTTATGTATGAAAATGCATTCTGATGGAAGGAACTAAGCCACCACTTTATATAGTGCCATATTTATACAGTGTGATGCTAGCGGAGCTTACAGCTAAGGCTGCTAAGCTCCTCACAAAACCCTATTTTCAGGTGGTTGTTACTTTGACAAATCTCTGTCGTTTGGCTGAAATTTCCACACTTTGGATTTTTGTCTGTTTTTTTGAGCAAAATTTCTTATTAAGCTTTCATGAAAGTCATGTTAGACATGCTGGTTTTCCCATATTAAAATTGTAACAGAAGCTTGTCTAAGAATTTGTCAACCCCTACCTACTGGGAAGTAGAGACTTTTCACTTGGTATAGATGGTCCTAGAGAGTTCTGCTGCCGTTTCCATGAAAATGCCTATAGGCTTAGTCAATGAAACTAGAAAGGAAAGAGAATTCAGCAGAAATCTGCTGGAGTGTGAATCTGCACTGAACATGTCCCTGTCCCTGCAAGGTTTCAGCGTATCCGAGGAACTGATGGTGTTCCAGAGCAGAGAGCAACTCGGCAACTTTATCGAGGGCTGAGCAAGGATTTCCTTAGACTGGCTTCTGCAGACGCGAAGTGGGGAGACTGTCTCTCTTGCATGTTCCTGGTGCTCTCACTGCCAGACCCACACAGTGTGTGGCCTCTCAGAGCTCATGAAAAGAAAAATGTACTACTTCTAGGGTGGGAAGGAGATACTGAGAGAGACTAGGACAGAAGCCAGCTGGAGGATGAGAACTGGAGCGATGACAAAGGGTAATGCAGATGAGTGTTTTCATACACTAGAGCACATTAACTTCCACAACCTGCAAACAACATTTCATTTAACATCACCTGTGAAACCTGCTGGGAAAATGTTAGTCACCTCCCGATTCAGTTGCTTGTTTGTACAGCAAATTTAATTCCATCTATCAAGTTACCCCATTTGCTCAAATGGCAGAGCTATGTGGACCTGTGGCAGGTAGGCAGAATCCTCCTGATGACTCATACAGGTGCTAAAATGGTTTCACGCAAGGGAATCTGGAGTGGCTTTGTGCTTCTGTGGGGTGACACAGGAAACGATACACAAGAGATCTGCACGAAGGCGGGGGGGGGTTTAGATGCTCGTGGTCCTCTGAACAACCATGTGCAGCTTCACATTCTCCACCATCCACCGTCGGATTCTCTGGGTAAACGTGCCTGACTCTGCAGGGACTACCCTGGGGCACACCAGCAGAAAGGCAGCACTGCCTGAACGTCCTCAAGCCATTTCTAAACCTGGTTTGCATGTCTCGGCATCTGGCGTTTCCTGTTCCAGCCCTGGAGCGCGGAGCGAGTTGCACGGCTGAACAGCAGCCTGATGAGACCTCGCTCGGGTGGTGCCGCGCAGAGAAATCCCGTCACCTCTGCCTAGTAACCTGCAGCATTTCTACAGTTAGGTCTCATCAGCTCAGGCCCGTGTTTGCGAAGACAGGCAAGCGCTACTGGACGCGTACTCGTGCCGCAGGACAGTTCGCCCATCCTTGAGCCGGGTCTCTGGAAGAGAGCGCTAGCCCGAGCACCAGAGCCGCGGCGGCGGTGCTCCTCCCTGGCCTGAACCCTCACTTCCCTGCGTTCTCGCCTCGGCATCCCTTTCCTTTGCAAATGCCTGAAATCGCTTCCCTTTCCTTCGTTGAACTCAGTCGTTCCCCATCGACTTCCAGCACCCACCTCCTCCTCCTCCTCCTCAGCCCCAGCCTCACCTCGCGAGGGCCCGCACCCCTCGCCTCAGCAGGGTTCGGGCGTTTGGCAGGAGGCTGGCGGCCAGGACGCGGAGCCCGGGGCCGGGCCGCCCGCGGAGCCCTCGCACCCCCCGGCCGCGGCGCGGCTGGGGGGGGGCCGGGGGGCGGGGTGGCAACGAGCCTGGGAACGGCTTCCACAGGCGGGACAGGGTCACTTCCCGACGCTCGGCAGCCCGTAAACCGCCGCGGTATAGCGTGCTGCGGAGCTCACGCCGAGTACTTTTGTCAAAACCTAAGTGCCGGGTACGGCTTGGAAGGATTTTTCACGCCGCCCGCCTCCGTGCCAGGAGACCCCGGCCCGCACGGCGGGGCGGGGCGGGGCGGGGCGGCCCGCACCTTCCC